CGGCACACTAGTGTGCCGCGGCACAGTGGTTGAAAAACACTGCTTTAGCTTGTCAGAAGGTCACAATAGGGGATCAAGTGTCCTAGGGACATCATAAATATGAGTCAGTTGCCAAGCACCTGAATTTTGATCCTGTGACCATGGGGATGCTACAATGGTCTTAAGTGTGAAAAAAACAGTTACTTAATGGTTATAAGTCAAGGACTAACTGTACAGGTAGTCCTCAAATTACAACAGTTCGCTTACTGACTGTTAGAAGATACAACGGCACTGAAAAAAGTGACTTATGACCATTTTTCACACTTACAACCAGTGCAGCACCCCCATGGTCACGTGATTTACATTCAGAAGCTTGGCAAGTGACTCATATTTGTGACGGCCGCAATATCCCAGGGTCACGTGATCCCCTTTTGCGTCCTTCTGACAACCAAAGTCAATGGGGAAACCAAATTCACTTAACAACTGTGTTACTAGTTTAACAACTGCAGTGATTCACTTAACAAATGTGAAGAGGAAAGTCATAAAATGGGGCAAAACTCACTTAACAAATTCCTCACTTAAGAACAGAAATTTTGGACTCAATTTTAGTCATAAGTTGAGGACTACCTGTATATAAACTTGGGAAACGGGGAGCCAGGTGATTTTGCTACAAGTCATTCTAACAGCCTTCTAAGTTCACTAGCAAATAGTAGTAAATGGCCATGCTGCCTCACTCCGTTGCATACTAGTGGTGTATTACGTAGATCTGATGTCTCTCACCCGCTTTTCCCTTAGAGCACACCTTGTTGACCTCCAGAAAAAACTGGAAGAACTGGAGCTGGATGAGCAGCAGAAGAAACGCCTGGAAGCTTTTCTCACCCAGAAGGCCAAAGTGGGAGAACTGAAAGACGACGATTTTGAGAGGATTTCAGAACTGGGAGCTGGCAACGGTGGGGTGGTCACCAAAGTACAACATAAACCCTCAGGGCTAATTATGGCACGGAAGGTGAGATCGGGTAAGGGGGCGAAAAAGGGCAACTCATTTTCCAAACATGGGCCTGAATTCAGCCAATGACATCAGGAAGGGACACCATCAAAGCAATAAACTTCCAAAGTAATAAGAATGCAAATTGCAACTTTTGAATTGAGCTTTCAAAGAAATGCGGGTAGTCCTCTGCGTATATGGCAGCTGGGGCTGGAATTTCCATTGCTAAGCAGTGGTCCTAAAGCCGTCCTGGTTGTTGTCATTAACTAAATCTCACAGTTGTTGGAAGGCAATTTCCTGCCAGCTTCTCATAACCATATAAAGAACAGTTGCCAGAATTGGGTATGACTGAAAAGAAGGACTAGGGGAGACATGAGTGCAGTCTTCCAATATCTCAGGGGTTGCCACAAAGAAGAGGGAGTCATATTCTCCAAGGCACCTGAGGGTAGAACAAGAAACAATGGGTGGAAACTAATCAAGGAGAGAAGCAACTTAGAACGGAGGAGAAATTTCCTGACAGTACAATTAATCAGTGGAACAACTTCCCTCCAGAAGTTGTGAATGCCCCAACACTGGAAGTCTTTAAGATGTTGGATAACCATTTGTCTGAAGTGATGTAGGGTTTTCTGTCTAGGCAGGGGGGTTGGACTAGAAGATCTCCAAGGTCCCTTCCAACTCTGTTAATTTGTTTAACTTAATTTAACCCGACCCCTTCCCCCCCCGTTGCCCCCCCCCCCCGAGAAGTGGATCAAA